GCAGGGCAGACTCTAGCTCAAGCAGACAGACTCTAGCACAGCAGGCCAGACCCTAGCTCAGCAGGGCAGACCCTAGCTCAGCAGGGCAGTCCCTAGCACAGCAGGGCAGACCCTAGCTCAGCAGGGCAGACCCTAGCTCAGCAGGGCAGACCCTAGCACAGCAGGGCAGACCCTAGCTCAGCAGGGCAGACCCTAGCTCAGCAGGGCAGACCCTAGCACAGCAGGGCAGACCCTAGCTCAGCAGGGCAGACCCTAGCACAGCAGGGCAGACCCTAGCACAGCAGGGCCCCGCCACGCGCGCACGGAGAGCACACCACACCACCCAGGCCTCTACAGGGAACAGAGCAGGGCATGTCGTCCTGCAGCTCGTCAGGCACACGCAGGCCACAGAGCCACCCGGGCTGAAGGCCCATCAGCTTAGGCACCTCGAGGACAAACCTACCGTGCTCAGGTTATCTGAAGAGTAAAGTGGATGGGCTAAAGGACTTCTCAAGTTATCGTGGGATCTTCGTGTTCTCAGAAAAAGACCCAAGACCCCCAGTTACTCTTTGCCAACATTCCCAGGTCACTACTAAATGGCAGAATCCTACCACACCCTCGGCTAAGCATCTTCCAGGGCTCTGAATGTTTAAGGCTGGTCTTCAACTATTTCATAAAACTGTGATTTTGATTTTTTGAGAATACAGCCTGTCTTGGGTTGAGAATGTCAAAGAAGAGAAGAGAAAGGATCCTAGTAAAATGGAAATGAAGGAAAACTGAGATGGGAACAGTGGGTGTAAGTTGTCTTTTTACTTTGAAAGGTGTCTTGACTTCTGATTCCTTTAGAATTCCAAAGCAGTACAGAATCTGTTCGTGAATATTCTTTGCTCCACAGAAACTTACCCTCCTGGCACTGCTGCTCATGGAGCTAAAGCACCTTTTCAAAGAAGACTATCATTTGTAATTCTTTTTTCTTTAAGAGAGAGTAGAAGGAGGGAAGAGAGAAGGAGAGAAGCATCAATGTGAGAGAGACACATCAATTGGTTGGCTCCTGCAAGCGCCCCAACCAGGGCCTGGAATTGAGCCTGCAACGCAGGCCCGTGCCCCTGACCAGGAATCAAACCATGACCCCCTGGTTCATGGTTACCACTCGACCACTGACCCACACAGGCTGGGCCACAATCACTTTTATTATTGCTTTCTTAAGGTAACTGTCTATCAAATTCTATGCTGTTAAATTTCCTTATTTGTCTGATTTCTGTACATTTGCATTTTTGCTATTTAATAAAACTATCTAGTCAGACATGTATACAAATACACACCATTAAAAATCTGAAATAAAATTACTTCAATTTAGTAAAAGCTATTAAACTCATAAAAACAACCCCCAACCTATACATTTATACTAAGTGTATATTTAATTTTTAAGTCTAAAATTTTTATAAGCTAGATACACATTTTTTAAAAAGCATGGGAGAAGCGTTACCTGAGAGAAGTAACAGCCGTACAAGGGAAGCCACTTCAGGCCGTCCTTCAGCACGTAGCGCACGTGCCCAGGGCGCCTGCCGGACGGCCAGGATGTCCGCCACGATCCAGTCCACTGTGGAGACAGGCCATCAGTGCGCCAGCCACAGGCGCCAGCACCCCTCCCACAGCCGGAGCGCCCCTCACCACATTCTCTAAGGAATTTGCTTGGAAAATGTTAAGACTCAAATTCTAATATTACTTTAAACCAACAGGAGACATTAAAAAATATATAAATTCTGAATTTTCTAATTTTTTTAAAAAATATATTTTATTGATTTTTTTACAGAGAGGAAGGGAGAGGGATAGAGAGTTAGAAACATCGATGAGAGAGAAACATCGATCAGCTGCCTCCTGCACACCTCCTACTGGGGATGTGCCTGCAACCAAGGTACATGCCCTTGACCGGAATCGAACCTGGGACCCTTCAGTCCGCAAGCCAACGCTCTATCCACTGAGCCAAACCGGTTACGGCATGTATTTTCTAATTTTTGTTGTTTAGGGATTTTTGTTCTTTGTATTTTTGTTACCCCTCACCCAAGGATATTTTTCCATTGATTTTTAGAGAGTGGAAGGAAGCAGAAGAGACAGAGAGAGAGAGACACAACGACTGGCTGCCTCCCGCACATGCCCTGACTGGGGCTGGAGATCAAGTCCGCTGAGGTACATGCACTTGACTGGGATCGAACTCGGGACCCTTCAGTCTGTGGGCCAATGCTCTATCCACTGAGCCAAACCGCTAGCGTTAGAGTTTTTGTTTTGTATTTCTTGAAAGGCTTTTATTTCATGAACAAAATGCAAAGGTTACAAACCACCAAAGCAACCCAAAAGCAGAGATAAAGTAAGCTTCTCTAATTCTGAGTCTAGAAATTTGACAAAATGATAAGCAAAAACACAGTTCAGTGAAACTGCCCAGTGCCCCTGAGAATTCCGTATATGCTAAGACGGTCAACAAAGGCCGGGACACTGCGCCAGGGAGCTGCAGGCCAACACCGGTTACAGGCGCATCCAAACCAAGGACCTCAGCGCGTACAACTGTGCCGACAGCTGCACAAAACCCAGCACACACGCCCAGGCTGCTGACAGCTCTCACTAAGGGTGCGAAAGCAAAAGTAAGAGGCAGGAGTGAGTTTATGCCAACAAAAACTTGCAGGAAGAAAGAAACTGCTAATTGATCTTTCACGGAAATCCTGAGCACGGACTCGCCTGTGGCAGGGATGAGGGATGAGGGATGAGGGATGAGCAGTGGGCAGAGGTGGGAAAAGGACTGAGGAGAGAAAATGACAGAAAGAGGCCAAGTGTGAAGGTCAAGACCCCCAGGTCTGGACTTGAAAGTAGCGGCTACAAACTGCCGTCTCCTGAGCCTGAAAACGATAACCCACGCGAGGGAGACGTCTCGCGTGTACGAACGAACTTGGAAAGAGCTGGCGAGCTCTGCGGAAGGAATCGGGTCCTGGGAGACTGCACAAAGCAGCGAAGTAGAGGGGGGACGTTTTAAAACACACAAAGCAAAAGGCTGTAGGAAAGAAAAGCCAGTCAGTCAGGGAGTTACCAGAAAGTTCTAGCCAAAGGGCCGTCCCCATCGTTACAGGGGACTCGCCACCGTGCAGGCCACAGGCACCGCCCTTCCCGACAGAGCAGCCCAGATAGCACTTCGCTGGCTGGAACACTAACGTTGTCTTTTTGGAAAAATATTCTATCAATTATTATAAATCTCTCTCTTTTTTAAAAAATATATTTTTATTGATTTCAGAGAGGAAGGGAGAGGGAGAGATAGAAACATCAATGTTGAGAGAATCATCGATTGGCTGCCTCCTGCACGCCGCTTACTGGGGATCTAGCCCGAAACCTGGGCATGTGCCCTTGACCGGAATCCAACCAGGGACCCTTCAATCCGCAGGCCGATGCCCTATCCACTGAGCCAAGCTGGCTAGGGCTATAAATCTCTTTAAATCTTCCTTTAACATTTGCAAGTAACTCTTCCACAGTGAGCGAAGAATCACAATTATACGTGTAAGTCTGATTATAGTTCCCTTAAGTGTGACCCGGCTGTGTCGGTGGGACACCCACGCTGCAGAACTACCCGGTGTCACCTCTCTACAGCACGCAACTCCTGTCCCTCCCTCTCACTCACACCACGGAAAGTCCCCGATAAACACTGCGCTTGTTCTGACTGTGCCTGGTGTGCACCCACTGAGCGAGCCGGAGAACTGAGTGAGGGTTTGCAGGCTGAGCTGCAACCTGGAAGCTCGCAGGGAACAGGCCGAAAACAAGGCCCGGCATCTTTTCTTACAACAACTCCTTCCAAAGTCGGGGGAGTGGCTATCGTGCGTTTTTATACTGAAACCTGCGTGGCTACATTATGGTCCAGGACACATCTTCCAAGCACTGGAGAGACGGTGTGCAATTTTAAACACACGTCATGTTTGTAGAGAACTCTTCTGGGTTATGTGCTTCATCTTTTGAAAATGTTAGTGGAAAAATTCAAGAACTAATTTAAGTAGTCACGAGACACAAGCTTCACGCCATCCATTTTTTGTTTTTTAATCCTCGTCGGAGGATACGTTTTCATTGGTTTTTAGAGAGCGATGAGGGAGAGCGAAGCGCAGATTGTGGTGCATGGGACGCCCAATGAACTGAGCCACACCGACCAGGGCTGTGCCATCAATTCTTGTTCCTCAAATATCTTTTTCACCTTTTTTGTTTATTCTCAATGAGGTTTCATGAAGGAGGCACTAGACAAAGCTGAGTTATGACAGCTGAGAAGGTAACACATTCCCTTTACAGTCAGTCATGTGCACTTGAGCTCTGACATCATGTAATCAAAACATCAGAAATGTGGCCACACGAGAATTCTTCCATGTGACCCAGTCACAGCTGCACCACTGTTTCCCTGAACCTGAGGCCAGCGAGGAGAGGCCGCAGGAAAAGCAAGGGTTCCTGGCGTAGCCACTGTGGCTCAGACGGTCGGTGCTGTCCTGCACACCAAAAGGAGGCTGGGCTGATTCCTGGTCTGGGCACCAGTGTTTCTCTCTCCCTTCCTCTCTAAAAATCAACAAAAACATATATATGTATGTTTAAAAAGCAAGGTTTCCTCATGTACATTCTGATGTGACGACAGTTCCTAATTCACACGAGCGCTGCAGAGTCCAACGCGGCTACACAGGGTGTACTTGCCCGGCTCGGACCCAGCACTGCGTTCATGGTCAATCACCACCAACACCACCCTCATCATCATCACCATCACCATCACCATCGCTCCTGCTGGATCATCATCATCACCACCACCATCATCATCATCATCACCATCACCATCGCTCTTGCTGG